TGGGTTGTTTGTTTTCTCGATGCTTAGCTTTTTCAGTTAATGCTGTGGGTTTTTTCAGTCTTTAATTTTTTTCCCTTTCATAAAATCCAGCAGTGCTCAGTACAATCAGAGTTGTGTATCCATAGCTATGTCTGAGCTCAGCCAGTTCCCGTTTCAATCCCACCCTGCTACCAGCCCTCTGCAAACACTAGCCTCTCTGTTTCTATGGTTTTAGTCCTGCAAGTTCCATACAGATGCAATTATATAACATGCCATCTTCAGAGTGACTTCTTCCACTCTGTTTCAAGATTCATCCATGGTGGATGCACCAGAACTTCATTCTTTAAAACTGAATAATATTCCATCATATGGCTATATGCATTTTGTTTGTTTATTCATTGATTAACATTTGGGTTATTTTTACTTTTGTCTATTATGAATAATTGTACCATGAAAGTTCATGGACACTATGAATTTGGTTTTTGAGTTTTCTGTGTATTCTAGATATTAACCCTCTATCAGATGTATAACTGGCAAAGATTTTTCTCCCATTCTGTGGGCTGCTTTGTTTTTAATTTCACAAGGCCCTATTTGTCAATTTTTGGTCTTATTTCCTGAGTGACTAAAGTCCTGTTTAGAAAGTCCTTACCTAAGCCTATGCCCATATCTTATAGAATACTCTACCTTTTCCCCTTGTGTTTCAGGATCTCAGGTTTTATGTTGAGGTCTTTGATCCATTTGGAGTCAATTCTTGCAGGGTGAGAGATAAGGATCTAGTTGCATTCTTCTATGTATAGATACCCGGTTTTCCCAGAATCATTTGTTGAAATACTGTCCCTTTTTCAGTGTGTAATTTTGAATCTCTGTCAAAAATCAAGTGGCTGGGGCTGGAGAGATGACTCAGTGGTTAAGAGCACTGAATCTGAATAGGAAGGTTAACAACCATCCCTGACTCCATTTCCAGGGGATCTGATGCTCTCTTCTGGCTTCTGTGGGCATTGCATGTATGAGTACACTTATATACATGTAGGCTAAACACTCATAAAATAAAATAAAATAATCTTAAAAGTCAGGTGTCTGGAGTTGCATGGACTTATATCTGAGTTCACTACTCTATTCCATTGACCTATATGTCTGTTTTTGTGCCAGTACCATGCTATCCGACCCTTTTACAATTATATGAGTGACATGGAAAGTTACTGGTAGTGACCCAGTGTTTCACTTTGATGATACCTTATACATGAAAACAGTCCTTCATTCTCTATAACATAGTACTCATTTTCTAAGAGCCAGAGGTACAGACAAGAACACACAGAAACTGTCTGCAACACGAGAAAGGTATGGTAGATTCTATGTTTTAGAAAAATCATCTTTATAGCCATTGTCATGGTGGGGCTATCAATGGTGGGCTATGTGGATAGCCAGAACAGGCACTCAGGCAAAGGTCAGTCCACAAGGCTGTCTTGAACCTGAAAGTCTCAGGTGGAGCCATGCTGTGGTGGGTCTGCCCTGTAGGTGGCAGTGTGCTCTGACTCCTGGCATCTTAGGGCAGTCTCCAGGAAAGCTGTGAGCCCTGGTACCCAGTGAGGCTCTGTGGTACATCACAAGAGTTACACATGAAGGCACTGCAGACTGGTCTACATCATAGAGTCAAAACGACTGGAGCTTCTCCCCCAACCCCTACCCCACTTCCCAGCCAGCACATTGTCCCATTGCAAACAGCTGTGCCTCTCCTACATTTGTTATTCCAATCTGCATTCCCTCCTAGCTACCATCGCCTCACACCTTTCTCTGTCCTGCAAAGAAAGCTGAATTCCAGTTTCGAAGTGAACAGCATTTCCAAGTTTCAGAGGTAAGTTCCATTTTCCAAAGTGGAACCCCATTTCATCTGTGCTTCTGCCATCTTAGGAGATACTCATGTATAATTAATTTCATGCTTAAAACCCATGTCCCCTATTTGTTTTCTGGAGCACAGCTATTAGGAGATGATTGCTTTCAATATTACATTCAACTGTTCATTCTTACATTCATGGACACAAGGAAGCCAACATATTTCTTACTTTTAAGCTGAGCTGTATTCCTGTGTGAATGAGGTCAAGTTATTATTGACTTGGTTAATATCTCCAGAGATGAAAAATGCCACTCATTTCCTTCTCTTGGTTTGCATTATCAGCCTTGTGCCTAATAGCACCCTCTTTTTTTCTCAGAAGGATCCTATTTTAAATGATAAATGTAAAAGTTAGCCCGTTTTCATGCTCTTTCATATAGAACAGCTATATTTAGAGTTTGAACTATGAGTGAAATGAGGGCAAGCTCCTCAGACAGGAGGCTCCTTGTCCCCTTTGTCACACTGCCACACACATCATCCAGCACCTGGCTAAATGCCGAACTCAGCAGGTGCTTGATTAACATTTACTGAATTATGTCAAAGGCAGGTCTGTACTTTCTGGGGTGTTGAGTATTCTTCTGCCTTATATTGGAATAACAGGAAACTGTAGTTATCCATTATATTGGTAGACTAGTGAGTGGGTCTGATTGGTAGTAAACAAGTCATTAGTTACTAACACAACTGATGCTGGGCCCTGAGGAGGTTGCCAGCCAACCAATACTCGGGACTTGGAGTACAGCAGCTGCAGCCCTGGTTTCTGTGACATCAGTATTATTTGGGGTGGACAATGAGGGCTGTACTACAGGCAGAAAATGGTACCCGAAGTCACCCAGTAGTGACATTTGAGAGATTCCAGGAAGTAGCCTAGGAGTAAGAAGAATGCACTACAGCCGGGAAATGGAGCTGCTGTGATGGAGTGTGATGAGAGCAGCTGTGTCCTGGCCCTGGTTCCAGTGAGGAAGAAGTAAGAAGGATGCTAGGTCAGAAACTGAGAGTGCATCCCAGTCCTTAGAGAGGGCCAGGGGAATGAGGTGGGAGACCTGGAAGGCTGTGTTCCCATGCAGCATGGGCCCTCTGCAATTCTGTCAAACTTCCATAAAGTCCAGGTAGAATACTTTATGTAAAGGTCCCAGTTGAAAGGACTTTATATAGATGGTACTCTGTGGGTCTACAGAGAGGAGAGGGCTAGGTGATCGCTCTCTAAGCCTGAGTTGGAACATTGGTGCCAGGGGACCAGGTGAGTGTAACCCACAGGTAGAGAGCAAGCAGCCCTACTCACAAGGCCAGGGGAATGTAGAGGAGGGTACCGGAACATCTCCAGCTTATCCTGCCTCACCCTGCTAGAAGGAAAGCAGGGAGGAAGGAAGGTCACATCTTTCACATCTGTGTGTTTGAAGCATGTTTCCTACAATGACTTTCTTCTTTGACTCTTTTTTCAGTCATACCAGGGATTTAACCTGAGCCTCATGCATGGTGGGCACGCTCTCTACTAATGAACCACATCCTCATTTTTACCCCATATTTCCATTTTCCTTAATTCCAGTACAAGTTCCTCAGACCCACCCAAATGCAGCTTCCCCTCACCCAGGCTGAATTGTCACAGGCCCTATGGGGCCTCAGCGCACATTATGGAGAGCTGGTCACTGAGCACAGGGAAGCTGTGTGTTCTCAGAGGTCCCTCCCACTCAGCTAGTAGGATGTCTTTGAAAATGTGTTCACAAAAACCGATGAGAGCTTGTGCATTGGTGAAGGGGGGGGGGTACAGTCTCCCTGAATGCCAGATACCATGACTAAGTCCCTTTATTTTTCTTCTTTTGTTTACAGCCACCCACAAAACTTGCTTCCTAGTATTTTGACTGTGGTTTTCATGGTTCTTTATGGATGTTTGGTTATCAAAAGCAGATGTGTAAATCGTCATGAGAGAAAGAAAACTGGCTGTATTTTTCTGAAAGAAGACAGCCCACCTGGCCACCAACTGTATGCAATAGTTATTGACACTGGCTTCCGGTCACCAGCCCAGTTTACCTCCAAGGTAACATGAGCTGCTAACAATGCCTTCAGTGAGGTCTAAGGGCATAGATGAGCCTGTCAGACACCAGAGATGACAATCTGATGATTTGGACACCTTGTCAATCACCTATCCCCACTGGCCTGTTGTCATTCCTGGGGTGAGGTTTATCTAGTCTTAACATTATTCTCTTGACCCTGCAGATTTATAAAGGCCAAAGGCAGGGCTCTCACCTTCCACCAGCTTGACTTTCTTCCCCTAGTCCTGCCTTCATGGTAGAAAGCACACTGAGCTGGGTTCTTCTGAATGGGTCTCTAAGGCTTTGAGAACTGTGTTGTTCTCTTCTGAGTTTACACTGGATCCATGACCCACCATCCAGAGGTAGATCCCAGGGAGAAGGGAGTAAACACTGCCCAGGCTGTATGGAGCTATGTGGCAACATGGTTAGGTTGGGAGTTTGAGGCTAAAGGCAGTATCCCCCCAAAGCAGATGGAAGATGAGGTTGAAGGTAGGAAGTGGCTGGAGGGTGAGTGAGGAAGCCCACCATGTCACCCCATAGGAGCATCCAACCCAAGGAAGGTGGGCTGTGGAAGAAAGGTCTGCAAAGGTACAAGCAAACTCCAGTCACAGAGACATACTCATACAAACACACTGAGAAGTTTCCAGCCTCGAGGGCCAGTTGCATCTGTACTTGACACACACTCCCATTTCCCCAGGGAACCATGTCTGCTATGTGGAACCTACAGGACTGCAGGTGTGAATAGGGTGTGGCTGCATCTGTAAGGGAGAGATAGTTATGTGTATTCCACACAATTGTACAAAATAATACAAAATAACTTTCAGTGAAATACTTAGAACTGATGAGTCAATCCAAATTGTTAGATTCATAATTGAGAAAAAGTCACCACTTATCCACACAGTCAGTGATGTTTATTACACATAATTGGAAACAAGATCCTTCTTACCAGTCTCAAAATAATGAGTGCCTGGAGAAGAACTCACCCTACATGTACAAGACTCCCATGGAGAGAATTTGCCCACTGCCCACTATTCATAGAAGACCTTTTAAAAAAACTATCTTTGTACATGGTTGAGGACAGCTAATTCCCCCTTTGTCATAGTTCACAAACCAACTTGTGTCATAGCTCACAAGCTGACTTTATGAGCTAAGCTATTCATAGATCCACAGTACCCACTTTACAGATGGAAACCCAAGACATAGATTAAACTGAAGTTAACCATAATTCCAGAAATATGTTCTGTAATTATGTTTACAGAACATGAATTATTGGTTTTAAAGTTTTCCTAGAGAAGAGAACTCAGGGCACAGGAGAATTAGAGCAGGGCAAACACCTCAAAAGAGAATAGGGCATGACTCCCCACCAGAAAGCCAGACAGTAGCCAAACAGTGCAGTATCTGCAGGATGTGGCATTAGACTTGTGGGATCACTAGACACCCCAGAACTGATCCAGGTATGTGCCGAGGTCTCTCAGACCAGAGAGACTATTCAACAAAATGTTTGAGAACAATAACCATCCTTGCAGAAGGCAATATTAAATCATGAATTGGCATTGCATATAAAGAGCATTCACACAAGTTGGGAGGCAGAAAGGTGACAAACAAAATTCAGTAACTACACAAAGAAAAGGATGATTTTGGAATAAGAAAGAATTTCAATGACAAGAAATGTGAATACTTCTAATGAAAGATCAATAAATTACACTGCACCAGAAATGAAAATTTCTGTGTGACAAATACCAGGGAGAATAAGCCCATCCCAGTGGAAATGTGCCACCTTCCCAGAGTGCTCTTGTGGACTTGGGTGCCTACCCGCCAGCCCTGGCCCCACCCCAGTGTCCTGCAGATCTCCTCCAGTGTCCACCTGACATGTGCAAGGATAAGAAATGCTACCCCTCTGTGGGGTTCTCTTGCCCACTGAGGAAGCAAATGCTAAGGAATCCCTTGTGGCATCCTACTTTTCTAGATGAAGTTGTAAAGAACTGACCAACCCTAGAGGTTCTACCCTGAAGGGCCTCAGCTAGCATCTCTCCAGGGAAGCCCTGGCCTGGGAGGGGCTATGCAGGCCACATGCATCCCCTCAGCCCCTGAGCTCAGTGTTGGGACCTGCTGGTGTTGGAAGCTGGGGGGTGGGGAACCCAGCCTGCAGTGCTCCATGCCTTCTCTGACACATCCTCAGCTCTCACCTCTGTGTCTCTTTTGAGGTTTTCATTGTACTGTGTGGTGAAAACGGACTCTCAGAAACCAAGGAGCTCTACTGTCCAGAGAGGTCCCTATTTGAAAGGAATTCCAGGCACACCTTTGTCCTGAGGTATTCCAGACTACCTACTCAAATGCATGTTTTGGAAAGGGGCAGGAAAGAATGGGGTCTTTTATCACACACGCAAAGACGCAGCTTACAGAACATTAATCTTCTGTGCATCATACCTACTGTAAGTTTACTGATGAAGCACAGAAAAAGGGAAGTGACCACTGATTGGCATGCTGCCAGTTTGAAGAAAGTTTTTATTCTGTTTCTGGTTTTTGAGATAGGATCTCACTATGTAGCCCTGGCAGGCCTGGAATTCACTATGTAGACCAAACTGGCCTTGAACTTACAACTGTCCTCCTGCCTTTGCCTCCTGAGGGATGGGATTACAGCATGTTCTATCATGCCTGATATAGTAAGTGTTTTTACTATTTGGAGCAAATTAACATAGTTTGTTTATATGAAGGAGTAAAGGAAAGAGGCAGAGAGATGGAGGCTTACTAAGCTGCATACCAGAATCAGAGTGTTTTCTATGTCACTAAAACTCATTAAACTAATTAGCACCACCCCAGATTTAGAAGAGCAATAACACATTGAATCACAAGAAAAGGAAGAGAAACAATTTATCAATCTAAGCATGCAAGTACCTGGCATTCTTAGAAAATATGAAAATGCTAAAGTCATTTTTTTCTCATGGAAAATTTAACTTCTCAAAAAGACAAAAAAGAGAAAATTTAATTTAGTTGGTTTGGAGCACTGCCTTTATGAAGAGAATAAAGATTAACTTCAGACTACTTCACATCAGATACCAATAGATCGAGATTTGAGTGACTTTGATTTAATGACGTCACAACCATTCCCCTTTCTTCTCAAGGGAGAGCTGAACCCTGGATCCACTGTCTTTGTTTCTATACATGCCCACCTAAGATAAAATTGGAGTTATTTCTGAGGTACAGTAAGAGATTATCAACCAGTAAAATTAAAGTAGAATAATTGTAACAATATAAAATCATGATGAAATCGTGAAACATATGAATTGTTTATTTCTGGAATTTTCCATTTAATATTTTTAGTTTGTGCTTGTTAGCGAGTAACTGAAATCACAAGAAGGAAAATGAGGATAAAGTGGGGGAGACTATGGTACATCCTAAGGACCCATGTGCCCCCCACTAGCCACAGTGCTCACTGGGACCCACTATCTCTAAGGTCTATGTCCATAGCACACACATGACTGTTGAGACATTTCTGTGTATCACCAGTGCTCGTAACCATCTGGGTCCACTCAGGAAAATCCACCTCTGGCATGACAGCAGTGGCCCTTCTCCAAGCTGGTTCATCAGCCATGTGATTGTAAAGGAGCTGCGCTCAGGACAAGCCTGGTTCTTCCCTGCCCAGTGCTGGCTGGCTGTGAGCCAACATGATGGCTGTGTGCAACGGGAGCTCACACGTCTGTGCCATGGTCTGGGCTTCTGGAAGGTAAGCCCCATATGGGTGTCCTGTGGCAATATCTGACCAGCTGTCAGGATTTGGTGCCGCTCTCTGCTTCTCTTACTGAAGTTCTGTCTTAACTTTTCCAAAGATAAGTGCATTAGCTCTTTTCCCAGTTGATTATGAAGATATTCATGCATGACTTCTAGAGAGACATGAACAAAAGTCTCTTCAGCCCAGATGAGGATGGACCAAAGGAATGATTCCATTGAAGTCTACCTTGGTGACTCAGTAGTTTACTGGGCTACTTATAGGAGCACAGGTGACTCAAAGGCAGCTGCATCACTGAAAAGTCCACCACCTCAGGACTGATGACTCACTAAAGCCATAAACAACTCCACTACAGTCTCCTCCTCATAACAATTGTTTATTGCTTTTATAACCTTGGGGAGAAGTCCTGTGACTCTCCTAAGTTTCATGAGCTTCCTGAGTCTTATGAAACTCCCTCTACCTCCAGGAGGAGCAGTTTTAATTCAAAGCAAATAGCCGCACAGCACCACACCTCAGGCAATGCACTCACTTAGTGACCAGCCAGCATGTCCTGATTACCTTTTCCATTTATCAACCATTACAGTGGTACAGTTCTTTGAACTGTAACTGTAAAATATTTCTGGAACTTCTCACTACCGGTGGTCTGTGTATCTAGAAGGGTCTGAATTAAAGATTTTCCAGCTCCCCATTGTGCCATAAACAACTCAGCTGTCACAGAATACAGAGAGGTCAGGGCTACAATGCCAGGAGATGGGAGCCAAGAGGTGATAAAAATCATCCAGGATCTCATAGACCAAGTATGAAGTTTAGTTTCTGCATGTTTCCTTCCAATGGTCTTCCATTGATGAGCATGTTTTATGCAATAATAATAAAAGTATTTGCTCAGACTGGAAAGATGACTCAGTGGTTAAGAGTGCTTGCTGCACTTGCAGAGGACACAAATTTAGTTACCAGCACCCATGTCAAGTGAATCACAACCTGTACCTCCAGCTCTGGGGGATATGGCACCCTCTTATGGACTCAGAGGGCACCACACACATGTGACATACACTTAAACACATACACATAAATTAAAATATATTTTAAAAGAATGTTGATGTTTGCAAACATTTGTACTTTGTATTCAATGTTTTAGAGTAAATCTTTATGAATTTTCTTTAAAATAAGTTAAAAGCCATATAATGACTCAATGCTCACAATTGCTTCTGTAAGTTTCCATTGCACATTCACAATTTTCTTTCATTTATTTCTGTAACAGAAAATGTTACAGGACACACTTCTGTGTGACTTGTGTATCTTGTATTTTTGGAATTTTTTATTACATTTTAATTATTTGTTTTGTGTGTGTACACACACAGATGCACACACACATTTACACATACACGCACAAACATGCCACAGTGCACATGTGAAAGTCTGAGGATGACTTGTGGGAGTTGGTTCTCCCCTTCCACCATGTAGGTCTTAGGGATCAAACTCAGATCACCAGATGTGGCAGCAAACACCTTTACCAGCTGAGCCATCTTGTTGACCCTGAAGAATGATTTCTTAGCTGATATTTTCTAGGCACTAGGTTTTATTCCTTACACTGTCACAGTGGTGAGGAGAGCCTGACATTTCTAATTTAGTACAAAACATGGTCAATATGAATTTGAAGCAAGAATTTCAAGGAGCCACCATACATAGAAATTCTTTAACACCTTAAACTGAAGGCCCTGCTTCAACTGCAATGTCCCCTTAGATAATGATCTCCCTGGTTTCTTCCCCAGACATCATGTTTGAGAACTTTGGGTGAGAAACCTGCACTTACTAGCATGGTCATCTGTGAACCCATATGGCTAGTCACTTGTTGGGCAACTGGCATACAAGAGACATACCCTATTGCAAACATGTGGTACACTTACAGACATGCAGGCAAAACACTCATATGCATAAGATAAAAATAAATCAAAAATATTTTAAAACATCCTTATTCTGTTAAAACTGTTCTGCTAGTTTTTATTGATTATTCTGACTGTATCCATAATATCAGTTCTATGTATAAGCATTTTTCTAGAATATTGAGCACCCAAAATTATTTGAGTTGTATTAAAGCTTTTAAAACTCAGTGAAGTTCCACAAGATATTATCACCTGCTGGGTGGTGGGTCTTGTAGGGTACTGAGGGCAGAAGGAGGCAGGTTAACCCCAGCTCTTAATGTACCCAGAGCTGGTGCCCACTTAAAATGCAACTTGGTCGGTGTGGAAAGTATGCTGACAACAGGGAGATTTAGAAAGTGTTTGGATCAGAAAGGAAAGGAATGATGGGAATGATGGAAGGGCCAAGAGGAAAGGTCTCTGCGAGTGATCACGAGTGAACTGGAGAATGAGGTGAGTGAAGAGTTAAGTAGAGAGCTGTTAGTATGAAACCTTGGGAGACTCAGCAGAGGATCAGGCTGAGTCAAGAGTCCAGGGTGGTGAAAGCATGATTCAGGAGATGCTGAGGATGAGGTGATGAGGTGGAAGGAAGCACCCAGAAGTGACCATGCAAGGCATCCACCTGCACCAACCCAGTGGCTGGGAGCTGTCCAGCTGATCAGCCAGGCTAGAAAAGCAAAGAAATGTTGTAATCCTCGTTCTGAAAAATCACTGGTTATTTATTAGTCAGGATTTCACTCTGTCCAGACACGTCCACGTTGGGGGAATGATCTGTGATTTCTGTTTCAGCTTTTCTACTCAAAGTTCATGGAGTACCTGGAGGATTTCCACGTTTGGCTCTCACCATACAGCCAGCCCACCTCCAGCAGCTATCCGCACACGCAGCGACTTGCTGTGTCCTTCTGCTTGCTGTGCGTCTATGCATGCCTCACTGCCCTGGTCACTGTGGAAGGCCATGAACAGGTTGGAAGTGGTAGATTTCCCCACAGTAACCCCTAAATCTCAAGCATAAAATTTGGTCTTCTTTTGACCAAATAGCAAAACTCAGAGTACGTGAAGAAGGGATTAAACCAGGGGAAGCAATCTAGCAGTGTGCCTGATGGGCTTGCCGGTAACATGGCTGGAGATAGAGCTGGTGGGAGGTAGGGAGGTGGGGGAGGCACACTGAAGATGGAGAGGGCTGGGTAAGTGCTCAGGAGACTGCCTTCCTGTGAGAATTCACACCCCAGGTACCATACAGCATGACTTTCAAGGTGAGGGGAAAAAAAGCTTGTTTTGTTTTTAAAGATTCATTTTAATTATGCTTTAAAGTATGTGAAATGTGCTGGTGAGTGCAAGTGTCCTTGGAGGCAGGAACAGGGCATCAGATCCCCAGGGACTGGAGTTACAGGTAGTTGAAACCACCCTATGTAGGTGCTGGAAACCAAACTTGGGCTCCTCTGCAAGAGCAGTACATATTCTTAACCACTAAGCCATCTCTCCAGCCCAAGGCTTGTTTTTTATAATAAATTCAAGAACATTCATGGGGCCAGCCCCTGGGTTCACTGTCCCCCAAACAACTGGAAAATGTAATGATGACATCTATATCAGAGGCTGAATGTAATCCTCTGTCATAGGACAGTAGGATGTGGTGGGTCGCTTACATCACAGCGGACGTGATCATACAGTGGTTTGTAGAAACTTAAAAAATAATATGGTGGTAGGGTTTGTAAAAGTAAACAAAAAATGATGAGGGAATGTCATCAAGTGGCAAAAGGGACCTGCCATGCAGACTGGGGAAGCTCAGCCTCCAGCGGTCTGATCCAGGGCCCTGTCCTCTCTTCTGCTGAGGGCACACTGAGGTTCCCAGGACCTTCTTGTGGGACTGAGGCCAGGACTAAATCCACTGAACATAGACCTTATAGAACTGGGTGCTCAGTAAACATGTATTAGGCTCACAAGAACATGTCTAGGAGAAAATATATGTTATTTTTATTGTTTAAACTCTTGAGATAGAGGGCAAAGCTTCATGGAGAAGGGACTTGGACTAAAGAGACATGCTCCATTAAATATGTTTGTACCTATGATTATGCATTTTGAGTTGGACTCATTCAAGGGACATATTCACCACTGTTGACCTGTTGCAGCACCCCTTAGATGTGGGCCCCACCAACATCACTCTCCGATCCTTCAGTCTGGGTCTCCTCTGCACCCTCCTGGCCTCTCCAGGTGCACAGCTCTTGTCGCTGCTTTTCAGACAGAGTAAGGTACTGTGGCTGTGTGACCCTGTGCTCCTGGGAAGACCCCCAGTGTTTAGACGCCCTTGCCAATCAGCTTCTTAACTTTACAGGAAGCCTTAGGACATCCATGGGCTGATTCACAGGGGCGTCTAAGAGAAGCAAAGACAGAAGCACCTCAGGGTAATGTGAACAAAACCCAGAAACTACCCCAGAGATTGGTCCTAGTTGGCTGGTCCAAGTAGGCACTTTTATTGCAAGTGTTCACTGCAAATGAGTGTCATTCCAAGTATTTAAATCTCTTATTTTCTGTGGACCACTATTCCTTTGTCTCTATCTGTAATGACTTTGTAACCATTTTCCAGAAAGATCTGTAAGTGCAGGCCACCCAGCTGCAAATAAAGTAGGCTGTGTCAGGCGGGGAGTGAATACCTTTGCCGCTGTTCTTCAGTAATTACTTTCTGAAATTTTTGTGTGGTCACATTTATCACTCTTTCCTCTTGAGGCTCTTTTAACTTTTTTAGCTACACAATTTTCTCATGTCCTGTTGTTTCCTGAGAGTAGCCCTGTGTGGCTGAGGGGCTGTCCAGGTCTACACCAGGATGGCAGCATCCAAAGTCCTTATCTCAGCCCTGCCTCATCTTGCAGATAGGCTCACTCTGGCAAAGGCAGGAGGGAGAAGTGGCTCTGGTAGCCCCTAACTATCCCTGCTTCCTGGTCATGCATTTGCCTTTCTTCTCAATCAGGTCCCGATTCCAGTGGTAGTGCAGGTTCAAGGGAACCGTTGGAGGTAAGCGGGTATGACAAAGTCTCTAGTTCTCTGCCATAAGATATTTCTTGGGTGCTCTCCCTTGGCTGCGACCTGGCCATGGATGGATCAGGCAAAGAGATCTGACCACGATGGCTGGGGCCCATCCTCCAAAGAGTGGAGGCCATTTTTCCTAGGCCAAACAGTGGGAGTGACATCCAGATAGGGTCAGGGAAAAGCTAGGAAAGGGAAGGACAGATAACACAGAGGCAGAGAAAGCCCTGTGGTATATCCAGTGAGACACCAGCAAGCCGAGGAAGAGAGGAGAGAGAGGCTATGGAGCAACATGTCTGCTCTGTCCTCTGTGGGCAGGGATTGGAGGGGCCAGGCCTCTGTGGACCTGGGACTCATGGCAGGTGAAGGAAAAGTTTGACTGTTGCTGCTGTAGCTGCATCACACTGGGGTTTTTCTTTTTGTATCTGTGTGCCTGTGCCCTTTGGTTATTGGTGCCCTTAGGGAGATTATTCTCTGTGGGTGTGTGTCAGGCCTTGCCTGATTCCATGTTTTCCAGTCACTCGCCCTGCTCCACAGCTCCATAACCCCTGTTCCTAGACAATGTACTCTCAGATCTCACTTGCTCAGAGTGCAGTCTGACTCCACGCCTAAGCACATCCTGAGGCTTCAGCCCTCACCTCCAGCCTTAGCTCCTCTGGTGGGTTTTGTGATCTGTCAGCCTGATTGCCTGCAGGCCAGCAGCATTGACCCTGGGTGGGAGGCAGAATTTGAATGGTGCAGGAATACAAGGGAGCTGGCCCCAGAGTCAGGATGGCATCCCTTAGAAGCTGCCTGAGGCCTGTACCTAACTACACCCCTGCCAGACCATACCTGTCCTCTGAGATGGCTGCAGAGGGCACCACTGTTGTAGGTACGGCAGTCATGGAGGCACTGATAAGGCCCGACCTTGTCGCAATTCCAGAATCCTGCATCACACATTCTCTCTGAAAGTGACCAGGCTTGGAGGACGGCAGCCAGTGGCAATGATGTTGCCTACCCATCCCTTCAGTTGGAGGCCTGTGGGGATGAGGAGCTTACTCTGAGAGAGAAGATTCACCACTCTCCTCCCACTTTACAAGGTGACGTCACCCTGTGGTTGCCTTGAGCAGCTCCCTCCTTGCTGATGGAGCAGCCCTGTGCCCATCAGGAGAGGCAGAGCAAGCAGAATGCACTTGGTCCAAATGTCACTAAACACTCTGGTCTCCTCTAAAAACTAAGCATAGTGACAGGCCTAAGCTTGATAGCATCTTACTTCAGTCTAGTCCTGGAGACTTCTAACTTACAGGTTTGATCCAATCTTTTAAAAAATCAGTATGAGACCCTACACTTTTCTTTCGATATTCTGAAAATTGAAGCTCCATTTTTCTATGTGAATTAGGGTAACAGCCCCAGCCTCAAATTATGGCTGAGGCTCACTGAGCTTATGTAAGAGGCAGGGAGACACAGGGGAAGACTGTGCTGAAGGGGTAAGGGTGGGTCCTAGGGGAGCCTGGGTCTCAGAAGGCAGCTTCATCTGGTCTGATCATTGGAGCTGAAGGGTGTGCTGAGCCCGGTCTAGTAGAAGCAAAGGGCAGAGGTATCACTGTGTGACTGCCGGGCTCTAGGGCCACATGATTCATTGGGAAATGGTCCCCACAGGTCCTAACTCAGGCAGCAGGTGGGTGCTGCTCTGTAGACAGTAGTAAGCAAGACCTGTGTGTTCAGCTGGCCAAGGCGAGGCCCGGGTCCAGGGCACACACTGGGGGAGGAGGAAAAAGGTCATGTCTGCATGTAAATGAAACCTCACCTAGACAAACTCATAGTACAAGCACTGATATTGACGAGCTATCTCAAGGCCTCTGTCTATGTAAGCTGGACAGTGAGCTAGGCTGAGAAGCCAGAGCTCAGGAGTAAGAAATCGATAAAGATACTCAGGAATATGGAGAGGGAGTGAAGTTATGCTGGTTCATTTGCCTTAGATGAACATTGCCTTTCACCTCCAGATGTCCTGTCTTTGGGATTTATCTCTAAGAACAATCCCTTAAGACAGGAAGCTTGATGCTACCTTCTGGAGGCACTAAGAGACTTCAGGGGTTATGACCAGACCTCTGGAGGAACAGTGGATCGGGCACAGCCTCCGGCCCTTTGATGTAGTTGGAGTAGACCTTGAAGAGCCAGGTCAACTTGTTTAGTTACTCAAGGTCTGAGATGGAAGCTGGTCCCTTTGCCTCCAAAGTTGGGTGCTCTTAGTTGTCTCAGGAAGACATCCTGGGGAACTCTGAGGATGCTACCAATGTTTTTCAAGCAAAGACCAAACTTCCAGCTCAAAGGTCATCCAGCAGGAGGAGCTCCCTGTGCCTATTTGTTCTATTTAGACTTTCAGCTGCTTGGATGAAGCCCACCTATGGGAGGAGGGCGATTTGCTTCACCGAGTCCACTGATTTGAAAGTTATTGTCATCTGGAAACTTTCTCACAGACATGTCTCAAAAAAATGTTTGAACATATGTTTGGGCACCTGTGGCCCAGCCAAGGTGACAAACTCCCATCACACTGTGGGTGGTGATAACAAGGTCTATTAATCTTCTGGTCTCTGTCTTGCTCTTCCTTAGCCCCCAGTAGTGATTCTGAAGGATTTTGGCCTCAGCAGTCAAGGGCCTATCAGCCTTGGACAAGCTCTGTAGCCTGGATCATCTGCTGGTCAGTTTCCCTGGCCTGTGCTTCCGGGACAGGTTTCCTAGGCTACAGGTGAGTAGTGGAGGTTTTCAGATATCCTCAGGTCCTCTGATGGATGACTAGCATTTGTAAAGAGACTCATGCATTTTTGGAAACTCATATGCAGGCACCAGATGTCGCTGTTTTCTCCCTTACCCGACCCCTTCTGGGGGTGAATAGAATTATAAGCAAACCCAAAGGTTCACTTGGCTCCACCAGCTCTGCAACAGCAGCTCTGTCTGGACAGCATCTTGGGTGTTAATAAGGAAGCCTAGGGTGGCGCCAGAAAAAAAAAAAAAAAAAAAAAAAA